CGACCGCGGGGCCCTATTCCTCCTCCCGCCGACACCAACCGCGGGGCCCTATTCCTCCTCCCGCCGACACCAACCGCGGGGCCCTATTCCTCCTCCCGCCGACACCAACCGCGGGGCCCTATTCCTCCTCCCGCCGACACCAACCGCGGGGCCCTATTCCTCCTCCCGCCGACACCGACCGCGGGGCCCTATTCCTCCTCCCGCCGACACCGACCGCGGGGCCCTATTCCTCCTCCCGCCGACACCGACCGCGGGGCCCTATTCCTCCTCCCGCCGACACCGACCGCGGGGCCCTATTCCTCCTCCCGCCGACACCGACCGCGGGGCCCTATTCCTCCTCCCGCCGACACCGACCGCGGGGCCCTATTCCTCCTCCCGCCGACACCGACCGCGGGGCCCTATTCCTCCTCCCGCCGACACCGACCGCGGGGCCCTATTCCTCCTCCCGCCGACACCGACCGCGGGGCCCTATTCCTCCTCCCGCCGACACCGACCGCGGGGCCCTATTCCTCCTCCCGCCGACACCGACCGCGGGGCCCTATTCCTCCTCCCGCCGACACCGACCGCGGGGCCCTATTCCTCCTCCCGCCGACACCGACCGCGGGGCCCTATTCCTCCTCCCGCCGACACCGACCGCGGGGCCCTATTCCTCCCCCGACACCGACCGCGGGGCCCTATTCCTCCTCCCGCCGACACCAACCGCGGGGCCCTATTCCTCCCCGCCGACACCACCGCGGGGCCCTATTCCTCCTCCCGCCGACACCAACCGCGGGGCCCTATTCCTCCTCCCGCCGACACCAACCGCGGGGCCCTATTCCTCCTCCCGCCGACACCAAATAATGGGGCCCTATTCCTCCTCCCGCCGACACCAAACCGCGGGGCCCTATTCCTCCTCCCGCCGACCCAACCGCGGGGCCCTATTTCCCTCCTCCCGCCGACACCAACCGCGGGGCCCTATTCCTCCTCCCGCCGACACCAACCGCGGGGCCCTATTCCTCCTCCCGCCGACACCAACCGCGGGGCCCTATTCCTCCTCCCGCCGACACCAACCGCGGGGCCCTATTCCTCCTCCCGCCGACACCAACCGCGGGGCCCTATTCCTCCTCCCGCCGACACCAACCGCGGGGCCCTATTCCTCCCACCAACACCAACCGCAGGGCCTATTCCTCCAACGACACTAACCATGGGGCCCTATTCCTCTCAACAACTATGGAGCCCTATTCCTCCCACTGACACCAATGATGGGGCACTACTCTTCCCACTGATACCAATAATGGGGCACTATTCCTCCCACTGACACCAATGATGGGGCACTATTCCTCCCACTGACACCAATAATGGGGCACTATTCCTCCCACTGACACCAATGATGGGGCACTATTCCTCCCACTGACACCAATGATGGGGCACTATTCCTCCCACTGACACCAATGATGGGGCACTATTCCTCCCACTGACACCAATAATGGGGCACTATTCCTCCCACTGACACCAATAATGGGGCACTATTCCTCCCACTGACACCAATAATGGGGCACTACTCTTCCCACTGACACCAATAATGGGGCACTATTCCTCCCACTGACACCAATAATGGGGCACTATTCCTCCCACTGATGGCAATGATGGGGCACTATTCCTCCCACTGACACCAATAATGGGGCACTATTCCTCCCACTGACACCAATAATGGGGCACTACTCTTCCCACTGACACCAATAATGGGGCACTATTCCTCCCACTGACACCAATAATGGGGCACTATTCCTCCCACTGACACCAATAATGGGGCACTATTCCTCCCACTGACACCAATAATGGGGCACTACTCTTCCCACTGATGGCAATGATGAGGCAATATTCCTCCCATTAACACCAATGAAGGAGGACTGTTTACTCCCTCTGATGCTAGAACACTTTATTCTCCGACGGGCCACAGTTCACCCACCCCAAAGTCTGAAGGACAGTAAGCTGACCCTTTGTTTAGAGAGCTTAGTGACCTCTGATCTACAACATACCAAAGACATGGAAGTATACACAAGACAAACGCTTTTAGTTTCATCACGAGGAACGAGGTATTATTTCAAAGACCTCAACAGCCACAACCAATATGTCCACATTTGCATCACAGGCCCTGTGTGGGTGGGATATGATCCCAAAGGTGAGCCACCTCAGGGCACCAACTAAAATAAAACCACAAATCCCATCATGCACTGCAACAATCCAACAGCCACAACGCCCTGGTATAGACCTGTGTACACGGCTGCCCTCTCTCTCTCTGGTATAGACCTGTGTACATGGCTGCCCTCTCTCTCTCTGGTATAGACCTGTGTACATGGCTGCCCTCTCTCTCTCTGGTATAGACCTGTGTACATGGCTGCCCTCTCTCTGGTATAGACCTGTGTACATGGCTGCCCTCTCTCTCTGGTATAGACCTGTGTACATGGCTGCCCTCTCTCTCTGGTATAGACCTGTGTACATGGCTGCCCTCTCTCTCTGGTATAGACCTGTGTACATGGCTGCCCTCTCTCTCTGGTATAGACCTGTGTACATGGCTGCCCTCTCTCTCTGGTATAGACCTGTGTACATGGCTGCCCTCTCTCTCTGGTATAGACCTGTGTACACGGCTGCCCTCTCTCTGGTATAGACCTGTGTACACGGCTGCCCTCTCTCTGGTATAGACCTGTGTACACGGCTGCCCTCTCTCTCTGGTATAGACCTGTGTACATGGCTGCCCTCTCTCTCTGGTATAGACCTGTGTACATGGCTGCCCTCTCTCTCTGGTATAGACCTGTGTACATGGCTGCCCTCTCTCTCTGGTATAGACCTGTGTACATGGCTGCCCTCTCTCTCTGGTATATAGACCTGTGTACATGGCTGCCCTCTCTCTCTGGTATAGACCTGTGTACACGGCTGCCCTCTCTCTCTGGTATAGACCTGTGTACACGGCTGCCCTCTCTCTCTGGTATAGACCTGTGTACATGGCTGCCCTCTCTCTCTGGTATAGACCTGTGTACATGGCTGCCCTCTCTCTCTGGTATAGACCTGTGTACACGGCTGCCCTCTCTCTCTCTGGTATAGACCTGTGTACATGGCTGCCCTCTCTCTCTGGTATAGACCTGTGTACATGGCTGCCCCCTCTCTCTCTGGTATAGACCTGTGTACATGGCTGCCCTCTCTCTCTCTGGTATAGACCTGTGTACACGGCTGCCCTCTCTCTCTGGTATAGACCTGTGTACATGGCTGCCCTCTCTCTCTCTGGTATAGACCTGTGTACACGGCTGCCCTTTCTCTAGTATAGACCTGTGTACATGGCTGCCCTCTCTCTCTCTGGTATAGACCTGTGTACATGGCTGCCCTCTCTCTCTCTGGTATAGACCTGTGTACATGGCTGCCCTCTCTCTCTCTGGTATAGACCTGTGTACATGGCTGCCCTCTCTCTCTGGTATAGACCTGTGTACATGGCTGCCCTCTCTCTCTCTGGTATAGACCTGTGTACATGGCTGCCCTCTCTCTCTCTGGTATAGACCTGTGTACATGGCTGCCCTCTCTCTCTCTGGTATAGACCTGTGTACATGGCTGCCCTCTCTCTCTCTGGTATAGACCTGTGTACATGGCTGCCCTTCTCTCTCTGGTATAGACCTGTTGTACGATGGCTGCCCTCTCTCTTCTTGTATACACCTGTGTACATGGCTGCCCTCTCTCTCTCTAGTATAGACCTGTGTACATGGCTGCCCTCTCTCTCTCTAGTATAGACCTGTGTACATGGCTGCCCTCTCTCTCTCTAGTATAGACCTGTGTACATGGCTGCCCTCTCTCTCTCTGTAGTATAGACCTGTGTACATGGCTGCCCTCTCTCTGGTATAGACCTGTGTACATGGCTGCCCTCTCTCTCTGGTATAGACCTGTGTACATGGCTGCCCTCTCTCTCTGTATAGACCTGTGTACACGGCTGCCCTCTCTCTCTCTAGTATAGACCTGTGTACACGGCTGCCCTCTCTCTGGTATAGACCTGTGTACATGGCTGCCCTCTCTCTCTGGTATAGACCTGTGTACACGGCTGCCCTCTCTCTCTCTAGTATAGACCTGTGTACACGGCTGCCCTCTCTCTGGTATAGACCTGTGTACATGGCTGCCCTCTCTCTCTCTGGTATAGACCTGTGTACATGGCTGCCCTCTCTCTCTCTGGTATAGACCTGTGTACATGGCTGCCCTCTCTCTCTCTGGTATAGACCTGTGTACACGGCTGCCCTTTCTCTAGTATAGACCTGTGTACATGGCTGCCCTCTCTCTCTCTAGTATAGACCTGTGTACATGGCTGCCCTCTCTCTCTCTAGTATAGACCTGTGTACATGGCTGCCCTCTCTCTCTCTAGTATAGACCTGTGTACATGGCTGCCCTCTCTCTGGTATAGACCTGTGTACATGGCTGCCCTCTCTCTCTGGTATAGACCTGTGTACATGGCTGCCCTCTCTCTCTGGTATAGACCTGTGTACACGGCTGCCCTCTCTCTCTCTAGTATAGACCTGTGTACACGGCTGCCCTCTCTCTGGTATAGACCTGTGTACATGGCTGCCCTCTCTCTCTGGTATAGACCTGTGTACACGGCTGCCTCTCTCTCTCTCTAGTATAGACCTGTGTACACGGCTGCCCTCTCTCTGGTATAGACCTGTGTACATGGCTGCCCTCTCTCTCTGGTATAGACCTGTGTACATGGCTGCCCCTCTCTCTCTGGTATAGACCTGTGTACATGGCTGCCCTCTCTCTCTGGTATAGACCTGTGTACACGGCTGCCCTCTCTCTCTGGTATAGACCTGTGTACATGGCTGCCCTCTCTCTCTGGTATAGACCTGTGTACACGGCTGCCCTCTCTCTAGTATAGACCTGTGTACATGGCTGCCCTCTCTCTCTGGTATAGACCTGTGTACATGGCTGCCCTCTCCCTCTAGTATACATAGATAAGAGTACAGGCCTACAAAGACATAGAGAAGGTTACTCACCCCTGGCACAGTCTCCTCGAAGTACAGGGCCTCTGCTCAGGCCTCCTCTCAGTAGCAGGGCCGCCATGGCGACAGAATACTGGCTATGCTATGTCCTCTCTCTGTATCGCCCCATTTCCCTCTGCCAACGATTCTCACTCCACCTCCATCTCCTCACTGGCTGCCTAGAGCCGGCTACGGGGTGGGGACACGTCGTGACGTCGACTCAGGTGACCCGCTCCGACGTCCATGTTAGCTATTGGCAAAGGATCCGGAGCCACTCATTCACAGAAAGAGCGCGGCCATGTTGATTAGTGGCTGTGACGGTTGAGGACACAGGGTTGGCGGCGCCATCTTAGTAGTGGGAAGGGAGAGCGGTGTGACTTTGCAGATAATTGTTCCATGCAGAGAGTGGGAAGTTCCCTGTGACTCATATCACCCAGGAGAGGACGGGCTCTGCCATTCCACCCTTTAATTACAGCTATGAATGCCACTGAATAGGGCCTGTGTACAAATGTAGATAGGATCTCCAACACAAAGTCCATTGAATGATTCTATAAACTGAGTTATTGGTATAGCAAATCCTACTAAATGCTGAATGTAACATGGCGGTAGAAGGCCAGGATTTCACTATTAAAGTAGAACTAATGGCAAAGCATTCTTTTCATTTTGGATAGAGTATTATAAGCCCTGCCAGTATTTTTTTGGGATCTGTGTCCCCATTGGGGAGATTTCCCTTTACTTCCCGTCTCACAGCCAAGACAGGAAGTGAAAGAAAATCCTCCCTTAGGGGATCACTGGTTGTAACTAGAACTATTGTACCCATTGGGTAATTTCCCTTCACTTTCTGTCACACAGCCAAGACAGGAAGTGAAAGGAAATCCTCCACTGTGAGGGAATACCTGGTTGTCACCAGAACTAGTGTCCCCATTGGAAGATTTTCCCTCTATTACTGTCAATTGACAACTCAAAGTGTGGAATGTTCTTTTGCTTACACTGATAATGGAAAATAGGACAAACAGAGGAGGTGAATGTCCTTGAGGGGGACACAGACAGCAATAAAAACCTCACAGGGATTCTAATCCCTCTCCACTCACTTTTTAGTTGTACTTTAACCACTTCCTGCCTGGCCAGGAGCATCCTTGTTTCGGGAGGACGAGCCGTTATGTCCTCCCATTCTCACTGCTCCTGCGCCACACAGCGGCACAATCTGTGCACAGATCAGGGTACAGGGCAATATTAATTTTCCCTGTACCATGTGATTGCAGTGACCAATCATGAATGCAGCCTTAGAATGGTGTTAGGAAAGTGACTGACTGCATACACATTCATCATGACTGTAGTTAGCAATCACAGTGTTAAAGAAAAGCATTCACCCCACCAGAGCAGTAGAGTGACGTTATGGTGACACTGCACTGCTCTGGCAACAATATGTAAATAAAACATGTAAGTGAGGTGTCACTATGGTGACATTGTACAGCTGTGGCGGTGATCATGTACATTGGCTGGCTGCTCTGAAATCACTGTATGTCAGTGCCACCAGCCATTGTCCCTGATTACTGCCACAGCAGTACAATGTCACCAGACCAGTGCTGCCAGTCACAGTGTCCCTAATCACCCCAACACCAGTCCCAGTGTCCCTGATCACTGCCACACCTTTCCCAGTGTCCAGTGCCACACCACCCCTGATCACCGCCACTTCAGTCCCAATGTCCCTGATCACCACCACACAATGCACAGTGTCCCTAATCACCCCAACACCAGTCCCAGTGTCCCTGATCACCACCACACAATGCACAGTGTCCCTAATCACCCCAACACCAGTCCCAGTGTCCCTGATCACCACCACACAATGCACAGTGTCCCTAATCACCCCAACACCAGTCCTAGTGTCCCTAATCATCCTAACTCCACTCCCAGTGTCCCTAATCACTGCCACACCAGTCCCAGTGTCCCTGATCACCACCACTTCAGTCACAGTGTCCCTGATCACCGCCACACCCTTTCCCAGTGTCCCTGATCACCCCAACACCAGTCCCAGTGTCCCTGATCACCGCCACTTCAGTCCCAGTGTCCCTGATCACCGCCACACCTTTCCCAGTGTCCCTGATCACCACCACACCAGTCCCAGTGTCTCTGATCACCTCCACTTCAGTCACAGTGTCCCTGATCATCACCGCCACACCTTTCCCAGTGTCCCTGATCACCACCACTTCAGTCCCAGTGTCCCTGATCACTGCCACACCTTTCCCAGTGTCCCTGATTACCACCACTTCAGTCACAGTGTCCCTGATCACCACCACACCATGCACAGTGTCCCTGATTACCACCACTTCAGTCACAGTGTCCCTGATCACCATCACACCATGCACAGTGTCCCTGATCACCACCACACCTTTCCCAGTGTCCCTAATCACCATCACTCCATGCACATTGTCCCTGATCACCACCATACCATGCACAGTGTCCCTGATCACCAATATACAAGTCCCAGTGTCCCTGATCACTGCCACACCATGCACAGTGTCCCTGATCACCATCACTCCATGCATAGTGTCCCTGATCACCACTATACAAGTCCCAGTGTCCCTGATCACCGCCACACCATGCACAGTGTCCCTGATCACCATCACACCATGCACAGTGTCCCTGATCACCATCACTCCATGCATAGTGTCCCTGATCACCACTATACAAGTCCCAGTGTCCCTGATCACCGCCACACCATGCACAGTGTCCCTGATCACCATCACACCAGTCCCAGTGTCCCTGATCACCATCACTCCATGCACAGTGTCCCTGATCACCATCACTCCATGCACAGTGTCCCTGATCACCATCACTCCATGCACAGTGTCCCTGATCACCACTATACAAGTCCCAGTGTCCCTGATCATCACTACACCAGTTACAGTGTCTCTAATCACCGCCACACCAGTCTCAGTGTCCCTGATCACCTCAGGGACACTGAGGTAACTAAGACAATATAACTAATGAACATTTTACAAAGCTGCACTGTTTTGTAGTATCTACTGGGGCTTTTTGATTGCATAGGCTATTTTCTGGAAAAACATGAAAAAAAATTTAAACTTCACAAAAACACAGAGATCAGCTTTAACCGCTTCCGCGCCACCCTGTAGCAGAAATACTGCTACAGGGTGGCAGGATGCGCAAAAGCATGTACAGTATATATACATGATTTTGCAGTTCTGGTACCCACGCTGCCATTCGTGGCCTCGGCTGTCAATCACCGGGTCCCGGCCGGTGATTCCCTGCTGGCACCCGGCGGATCTACGAGGATTTCCGACGGGGGAGAGACCTGTATGGATCTCTCCTCCCCTGTCAGCTCCTGCACACTGCTTTGTATGGCTCTGCATAGCACAACCATACAAAGCAGTGTGCTTACAGTGAAGAACACACACAGCCCACATAGTGAAACAACACACAGTTAACCCTTTGATCGCCCCAGATGTTAACCCCTTCCTGCCCAGTGTCATTAGTACAGTGTCAGTGCTTTTTAGCACTGATCACTGTATTGGTGTCGCTGGGGATGTCAGTGACACCAAGTAAGTTCCCCCCAGTGTCAGAATGCCCTCCGCAGTCCCGTTATAAGTCATTGATCTCCGTCATTACTAGTAAAAAAAAAACAAATTACAGTATATATACTGCCATATGTAAACGCTATAACTTTCATGTAAGCCAATTCATTTACATGTATTGGGATTTTTTTTACCAAAGACATGGAGCAGAATACATTTTAGCCTAAATTTATGATGAAATCAGCTTTTTTTCATTTTTTTACTGGATATGTTTAATAGCAAAAAGTCAAAAACAGAGTTTTTTTTTCAAAGTTGTCAGGTCTTTTTTGTTTATAGCGCAACAAATAAAAAAAACCCGCACAGGCGATCAAATACCACCAAAAGAAAGCTCTATTTGGGTGCAGTGTTGCATGACCGCGCAATTGTCAGTTAAATTAACACAGCGCCGTATCGCAAAAAATGTCCTGGTCAGGAAGGGGGGTAAATCCTCTGGAGGACAAGCGGTTAATCATTCATTAGTCCTCTTTATCATGGCTCTGCCCCACTCCCCCCCCCCCCCCCTCAACCAGTGTTTCCATTTTTGACTGGCGCATGTGCTGATGCATCAAAGGGCTCTGCCTGGTCAGGTTTTGCATGCTTGTGCTAAAACTAGACATCCTGGACCTCCTGCACTGCACATGCACAGGAACATTCATTCATCCGCACTTTTGATAAAGGTCTCTGCCAGGTGGTGGTGTCCAGCAGAGCCCTTCAGCCCATATACTCATTCAATATCATTCTTGCCTAGGTTAGCATGAAGGAAATGTTGCCCTGCAGAACAAAAAAAAAGCAAATTAAAAAAAAAAGGGAAAAAATCCAGTGATGGTCAATTGATATCATAAAGCCATGCCATCCAGCATTACCAGATTGCTATTTATAACACGGACAGCACAGTGGCTAAATAGCACTTCCACCTGGTAGTATTAGGGTTGTTAGTTTGAATCCCAGCCACGGCACCTCCTGCCTGGAGTTTGCATGTTCTCCCTGTGCCTGAGTGGGTTTCCTTTGGGTACTCTGGTTTCCTCCCACACTCCAAAGGCATGCTGGTAGGTTAATTGGATCCTGTGTAAATTGGCCCTAGTATGTGTATGTATGAATGTGAGTTAGGGACCTTAGATTGTAAGCTCCTTGAGGGTTAGGGACTGATGTGAATGTACAAAATATATGTAAAGTGCTGTATAAATTGATGGTGCTATATAAGTACCTGAAATAAATATGTGTGAAGGGTCCCAAATATAAGAAACATTAACACATGGAAATACAATCTGTCCTGAGGTTATCCAGCAGCAATCTTCCTAATTTAGCTGGCAGCTGGTATTTTTTATCTGCCAAGGAAACATTGTGTCTCCATTCCTCCTTCCCCTCACTCAGTTCCCATGCTTGACCTTGAAATGTACTTTGTTTTATTATGTAACATAATTTCAGTGATTACCTTTCCTTTATTTTATGTCATACTGAGATTTGTCCACTAGAGGACACTCTCCTCCATTGTATGGAACTACAGTGTCAC